AGAGAGATTCTAGGAATAGTCTTAGGTAGTTGGGTTGGGAATGGTGACATGGCTTAATGGGAGTGGTGGGAAGGGGAGAGGAGAGAGAGTTAAGGAGAATGCAAGGTGGGGATAATGGAGCAAGGAGAGGCATGCTGGTGTGAACCGTCTTGCTATATATATACTAGTAGGAGCCCATGCGTGATGGGGCACCCCTCCTTGTCCCTTGCCCCTGTAAGTCAAGACACTGGGCAAGGCACTCGTTCCCCATTGGGGATGGGGAATCCCCAAATTTTCCATGTCCTGAGGCAACCACATAAAAAAATCTAATATATGGATATTTTACAAATAGGATTATGGGAATTTTTTGGTATTTTAGGAATTGGATTATGACAATTTGAGGGTATTTTATAAATGAAATTATGGGATCCTAGGATTATAAGAATATGAGGAAAACTTAGAGATATTTTAAAAATTAATATTAAATCTACGAACATTTTACTAATTTATCATCGGGTTCGGGGAATTATATGCAAATTCATCCCTAATTTGGGAAAAAATATTTTCCATCCCCACCCTGTGCTGCCTTCTCCTTATTTAAGATTTAAGAAAACTTGCCCTGTTCGGGTGGGGCAGGGTTGGGCCCCAGTTTTATAGAAAAAATTGTCACCCCTACAATTCTAATAAATTTCTATAATTAGTTAACTAACAGTAAATTAAATAACAATAAATTACAATGTTTTATGATAATTTCCAAAAAAATATTGAAATTGTTATTAATTAGTAGTAATGTATAATAAATTAATTATTTACAATAACAATAAATTAATATAAATTATTTTCTTTTTAAGCCTAAACTATTTGCTATTAATCAAAGTAAATGTAATTATAGTAAATTAATGTAATTATGGTAAATTACATTATTTTTAATTAAAAGTAAACCATTTATTGTTAATTAATGTAAAACCAAGTATGATCGAAATCAACCAAGTGGTCTAGATCAATGTGGATAGACTTAATAATTTTCCTAAATTATTTATTGAAATAATAATAATGGATTTTTATTTAAATAATTATGAAACAATTTCTGATAGATTAATTTCCTAAAATTTTTAATAATTGTTTAGTTGAATAATAATAGATTATTATTTATATAGTTTTGGAGAATATTTTTTCATAGATTAATTTCTTAATTTTAATTACTTATTTAAAAAATAAGTATGAATTATTAGTTAAAGAGTTTCCCTAAATTATTTGATAATTGTTAACTATAATTATTGATTTTATAGAAATTAGTAAATTTTGCTAATTAGTAATATCTTTTATCAATAAAGTATTATTGTAAAATTTTAATGATAATTTATTAAATTACAATGATTCATGTAAATTATGCTAAAATGTGAAATTTAAAAAAATTTATTAATAACCAAAAATTATTAAATAATGGTTTGTTTATTAGTTTTTGGTAGATTATTAAATTATTTAATATTTTTAAATAATGAATTATTTCTGAAATAATTATTTCATAATTTTTGATATAATATTTTGTAGAAAGTTTTAATAATTTTCATAACTAATGGATTATTTAACAATATATTATTTAATCATAATGAAATATGCCATGAATATATAGAAAATATCAAATTCCTCTTATTCCCCTATCTTTAATTTGCTTGAAATCACGTCTATAGTTTGATTTGGAAAAACAAATCTTAATAAATTATGGCCCTATTTTTATGGGAAAGTGGAGAGAATAGAGGGGGATTTGAGATAGAAGTGAAGGAGAGGACAAAAGTAAAACACATATTGAGCTAATCAAGGAGAGAAGTTAGGTTGTTATAAAAGTTGAGAAACGTGAATTGTGGGGGAAGAGAGAAAACCCAATGGGAAGGGAGAGGAATGAAGAAAGAGGGTGCTGAAATGGCAAATGTCAAATTGGGAGCGAAGGGAGAGAGAAGAGAGAGTAAAGGAGAATATAAGGTTGGGGTAATGGAGTAACAAGAAACAATGTTACATTACATATTTACATGGAAATTGAAATTGGGTCAATTGCCAAGTAGGGGTGGCCACGAACTCAGCTTATCATGAGCTATTTGAACTTAGCTCGTAAAAAGTTTGACTCAGCTCAGTTTAAACCAAGCTTTGAGCCAAGCTCAAGCCTGATATATAGGCTCATTTTCTAAATTGGGTCGATGAGACTTGCGAGCCTAGTATAATAAATAAATAAATTTTTATTACATACATACATACATACATACACACACACACACACACACACACACATATATATATATATATATAATAAATAATTTTTATTATATAATAATATTTTTATTTTTTATGTATAATGGCAAATAATTTTTATAATTCTTATTTTTTGTATGTAAAATAAATAGAAAAAATAACTTGACTTGTAGTCGAGCTCGAGCTGAGACAAACTTGAACTTGTGAGCTTTGAATCCAGCCAAGCTCGAGCTCAAATATCTAGCTCGAATTGAGCTTGAACCTAACATAGGTTTAGCGAGCCAAATTCGAATAGCCAAGTATTTGGCTCGGCTCGACTCGATCCCTATTACCAAGTTGCCAATAGCCAAGTATTTTTCCACTAAAAAGACAAAATGATAAGTCATTCAGTTCAGCTAATTCAGCTGTTAGTATTTATTAAGCGGCCTTTTGACGTGTTCCCCTCCCTACTCCCCCGAGAGAATCCTCGCTTTGCTGATGAGAGATGTTATTGATGGGAACTTGACCTGAAAAAGCAACATGGTTTGGACTTTGGAGTTTGGAGGTCTCAAGGTCAGGGCTGTTGCATCCTGGCTTGCCTGGAGAGATCAAATCAGCCCTCATAAGATTGCTCCACACAACGTTCTACAGCACATCTCCGCTGTATATTGAGAATATCTCCCGATTAATGACATCATCATTTTTGACCGAGGAAGGGTTGCTCTTTCACCATTCATCCATTAGGGAAACTGAGGAAGGGGAGAGAGCGAAATGGAATGGACGAAGCAGGCGGCCCACCTCCATCATCCATTGGTGAATGATTAAACTCCCTTCAATTCATTCTTTTGCTGTCTAAAGAAGGGGAACGCACGCAGATCCGGCGGAGGGCCCTCCACACTCCTGATTCCATCCATCCATCCATCCCATGTAAAAGCAAACCTCCTTTCTTTCTTCGACTTCAAGACACTGCGACTCACTCACACACACACACACAGAAATATCAAATATTTGAAAGGAAAATGCTGTGGGTGATGGTGATAGAGTGATGCTGTTGCCGTAACAAATAACCATTCACATCTCACCACTCAATCTGAATCCATCCAGTTGTCACCGCTATCGCACCCAATCATCTCATCTCATTTCTTTGCTTTGGATAAACATAACTACATTCTTTTCTTGAACTGATGGGAGGGGAGTGGTTGTTTCGAGACCCCCCGTCCAGACCAGTTTCAAGAAGGCCATACTTGTCAGACCCACATGGGGGCCGCATGTCAACGTTGGTTGGCCTGGCCTCTCTCCGGCTCCAAGTGACCAAATTTAATTTGTTAGAGCAATAACTAGGAAGGGTCTCACTCTCAACTCTCATCCAAAGAATCCCCAGTCGTCGAATTATGGCTGTACGTCAACACAATACCAGAAAGTATGAAGAAGATTTTGATATGGAAAATTTGTTAGAGACGACAGAATGATGTTTTTGTAGGCGTGTTTTTACTCTATGGTTAGGGTAGTAGGAGCATATATTAACACCAAGATACAAAATCTCAACACTTGGAAAGCAAATCTGAATTGGCGATAGGCAGCCGATAAGGAAGGAAGGATTCCATTTGTGTAGCTTTAACTTTGAGTGACTGATTGACAGCCAGCAGTCAGCCTCCGTTGAGAAACAAAATCTTTTTCTCATGACAGCAGTTGCGACAAACGATAACTTGCATGTCGTTCTCTGTTCCTTTAGAGGATGGTATGGCAGCATTCAGAAGACATCACATCTCCGCCTTACAATGCCCCCCCACAGCACATCTCCTAAGGATGACATTATCCGTTTTGATAGTATCAAAATAGATAATGTCAGATATTCCCAATACACGGCGGGCATGTACTGTGTACTGTGGGGGCAGCCCCTTGTGAGGCGGAAATGGAATCTCCGTTTAGAAACTAAAAATTTAGAATCGTTCCAACTCCCAACGCCCATCCAGTTCAAATCAATCCTTCACAATGTACATCTCCTAACATCTCTCAATAATAATATCAGGAATGATGGTGTCATCATCAATGTTCTTAATACGGCAGAGATGAAACCAGATCTACTCCTCACACGCACATCCTATTATTTACCGGAGATGTTTTCAATGCACGGTGAATGTGCATGTGAGATACACATTTGTGAGGAATAGATCTTATCTCTGACAAAGATGTGCTGTGGGACGTTGTGAGGGACAGTCTTATGGGAGAACGAGATCTACTCCTCAGGTATATATCCACCGTGCATTGGGAACATCTCCCATGAATAATAACCTATAAGTATGGGATATGTTCCCAATTCATGGTACATGTGCATGTGAGACATGAGTGAGACGCCCTGTGTGAGGATTTGACCCGGTCTCTCTTGTCGGGGGCTGATCCGGTCTCACGCCCATCCTCTCGTCTCAATCTCATCCACCTGACCGATACTTTGGGCCACTGAATTAGAATTACTACTTAAAAGCCTCCATATTTCTGCTGCTATCCTTCATCTCTCCACCTCCTTGCCCACACCGTATTTATTTACTTTCCCATCGCTCTCACTATGCAGTCACCTTCTCCATCTAACGCCAACATTTAGGTGTGCCCAGTGCCCAGTGGTCCTCTCTCTCTCTCTCTCTCTCTACGCATAAACACATATTGGGTACAATTGAACGCGTGCAAATGCATAGTGCCCTGAGCAGTTGTACTAAATAGAACTCATGGGGCAAGAGCAGAGCAGAGAGGGCAATGGAGTGATTGGGACAAATTAGCAATTGCATTTGAGGATCAACCCATGTCATATCGTATTTTAATTTGTTGTCAAGTGGGTGGACAAGAATTTTTGATTGTTAATACAGGATCTCTGTTATTACTACTATGCTTCCAGCCAGTGTACATACAAATATATCTTATGTACTAAAAAATTAGAAAAAAAGAAAGGAAGAAATCAAGATTGTAGGCATTTTGGTATATCATCTGCTCCAAGGAATCTATGATTGGTAGTTCCAAATCACATCTCCATCTTGAGATTGTTAGCTTCCAGGGTCCCTGCAAAATGAAAAGAAAATCGATCCTTCAGATCGGGGTAAACTAAACTGGTACACGATGAGAACAAAGTAGTTAGTTAAAATGGATTCCTGCCTCTGATTAGCCCATGAACAAGTAATTGGATGATCTCATCTGATGACCCTTTTTCATAATCAAGTAAATGGATGATCTGATCTCATGACATGAAAGCCCAAGACCATGAAAGATGATTTTTATCTTTTGGAACCCAACAGAGTTCTGATCCACGAGGGGCCTAGCTCAAATGCAAGGCCCCCATATGACTGGCCGCTAACCACTACTGTTTCTAAGAACCCGACTGGCAATTTCAAAGCTGGTACTCTGCCTCTGCCCTCCATACAGGGAATCCTACTATTACAAGGGTCAGACCAAACCACTCTATGGAGACGAGACTGGAGTTCAGGAATAGAATATAGTATACCACCCAGTTTGTTTCTTGCTTCAAATCAATTTATTCTCTCATTGATCATTGACCCCAAAGATCTACAGAGGACCCAATGACTTGATGATATTGGTACTCTTATCTTTTCTATTTGCTTATTTATTTTCATTTTCAAGTTTCTGCACCTTCTTTTAATCACAAAAGGGCGCCTTCACTCCCTTCCTCTTAACTTAACTCTTAAGCAAGATTATGACGTGGGGTTGAGACATTTCCAGTGGGGCTCCCTACGGGGTCTGGTCTCTCTTCTGACCCATCGCCATCGGTAATCTTCATGAATTTCTTTCAATCCATCTTTGTTAGTTGAACTTGTCAACGAGAGAAGATCATATGGCAAAGGAGAAAAGATATAATATAACAACAATCCAAGTAAAATTGGCTGTTACCTGTAAATGGATGAGTTGGAAAGGCAGCTGGTCTTCCTTGCTGAAGCTCCACTTTGTAAAGTCCTTGTAGATCCATCTCCCAACTTGATGAAGAATGTGGGGCTTGCTGCAAATATAATTGTGATTCACATGAGAAAGAATGTATGAAGAAATATGGGTAGAAACAGAGAGGGTAAAAGAGAATCAATCAACTGTGAACGGTAAAAGAAATTACAGTGAAGCCGGTTGTGTCGAGGAACGCCTCAGGCATAGATATGGGAGTACTGGAGGTTCTTCTAATCGTCATTTCATCAGGGGGATTTATAGCCATATCCAACCCACCGCATGAGACCACTTGCTGGACTGGATTAAATTGAAGGTAGGCCGGATTCGCCATTTCCGATGACAATCCAACCGTCGGAAAACTATTGCCATTACAAGCAGGAAATGTCTGTGCACTCTATAGGATAAACAATAGAATTAGTTTCCAAAGAAATGGCAGAGTCTCCATGTTTCTCCATTAATAAAAGTAGTAATTACAAAAATGATATACATTTACCTCTTTTCCGAAGAAGTTGTCCACGTTGAAATCTAGACTGGGGTTCACGGCGGCGAGTTTCATGGACAAGAACTGTATATGATGATCAGAAGACAAAATTAAAAAATAAGTCCGATTACAACCAAGACAAGACAAGGGTAAGGGGCAAAAAAAAAAAACAGAATGGTCATTGGGTCTTTTACCTCTACTTGTCTCTGAAGGGATTGAACATAGTTGATGATTTCATCGAGCATTCCAGCCTTGCCCGTAATCTTATTGCAACCTGGTACTAAATCTTGTAGGTATTTCATCCTCTCACTAATCTTTTCTCTTCTCACCTACAAATCGCATGGATATATAAGCAAATTAATTCAAGTCGCATAAAAATTCAATTTCTTCGACGAAAAATAAATCCGACACTTACCCTTTCTGCCAAACTATGGCTATCAGTGGCCTGGCCACGACGCGCTCGGACATGAATGTAATCTGGTTTCGGAACCTCTGGAGTCTTTGAGTTATCTTTTGGACTGTCACCAGTAGTTTCTTTGTTGCTTTTGTTGTTGGCGGTGGTGGTGTCGTTGCTGTTACTGGGGTTGGTGACGGTGGTGGTGGTTGTAGTGGGTGTGGACCGTGTGGTAGTAGCGGTGCTTTGTACTGTGATCTTGGTCTCTTCCGCATCCGTTTTGATCCTCTTATCTCTTGTGTCCTCTGGTACAGTAATCTGGTTAACCAAAAGAGCTTTGATCAATCAATTCACTAAACAATCATCAATCATTCGATACAACTTGGAAGCTCTTCTTTTGGAAATTCATGGCTCGTTGCTCTTTGTAAAATTCAAATTTTCCGTTCATAGATGGAAGAATAGTAAACTAGAGAGAGAGAGAGAGAGCCAAAATGATGAATTGATGAGGAAACAGTGAATTTAGACGAAGAATACGAATCTGGTCAGTGTTAAAGAAAAACAAACCTTTGTGTTTTGCGTCTTATCCGCTTTTCTCTTCTTGAAACTCTCTCTTCCAACCGTGGAAGGAGTTGCCACGAAGGCCGAATCTCTGCCTTTTTCATCCGGCAAGGGCACCGCCGGCGGACAACTAGAAGTCCTCGAAATAGAGACAGAGTGAGACTGGTCCGTCCCAAGAGAATTAGTTCCAAACCCGTTACACCCAAAGTCCGCAGTCTTGCCACCAAACCCGGTATTGGTGATCGGGTACTTACCGAAGTCCGGCCAATCATTTGCCAAACCCGGGTCGGTCTTCATTGATCGGTTCACAAACTCCCGAAGCGCCGGGTCATTGTTGATCAAATCTTGAAACTGTTGTGCCTGTGTCACCGGAGGCTGGGGAAACACATAGAATTGGGTTTCACCGAAGTATCTCTGTTGAGATTGTTGCCGTAGTTGTTGTTGTTGCTGCAGCTGCCGTTTAAGCTGTGCACGTTTTCTTTCAAGCATAGTGAGGTCCGCAACGCTTTCTACGAGATTTTCCGGTGGCGTTTGTAGGCAGTGCAACATCTCCGGCAAAGCAGTGTTCATCACCCGCAATCAACAATAAAGAGAGAAGTCAGAAAGGAGATGATGGGTGTGGTCAGTGGCTCAGTGGTGACTGATGACGTGGGTGAGGAGCGTCTAGTTGCTATCGTACGCTACTGCTGTTTGTGGGTTTTTTGCAAAGAAAAGAAAAAGCAGCGTAAGAGGTTAGGAAAGGTTGCAGGCTTTCATGAGAAACGTGTCATAATGAATAGAAAGGAGATAATGCTGCTACTTGCTAATTGCTATTAGTACGAACTTAGGTCAATGGATTCCTCAACTACTCTCTTCGTCTGTGCCGATTGAAGTAGCGCCGGTGGCCGCTTTTGGTTTTCGGGATCGGCTGCTTATCTGTGTATGAAGAAAAGCTAAAAATCTTGTTACAAAAGTGGGGAGAGTGGGTAGAACCGTAGAAGCAAGTAGACTATTTATACAAATCAAAAGGTTGTCTGACACCGACTGCCGATTTCGGACACAATTAGCCGGAATAAATAAGGGAGGATAGAGAGAGAGAGAGAGGGCGGGGGGAGGGGTTCAATCGAAGGTATTCAGAGCAGTGGCCGTGGGAGTGGGGTCCATTGACATGACTGCCACGTGGGCGTGTCCGGGGAATTTTGAAACGGAGGGAACTTTGAACTGTTGGCATACCCCCCCCTCCCCTTCCCAAAAAAAAAGAACGGGGTTCTGGGAGCATACCCCCCCCCCCCCTTCCCAAAAAAAAAGAAGGGGGTTCTGGCCTTTAGGGAGATCGGAGAGGCAGGCTTCTGCTTCTCTTGTTGCGTCTTGAAATCCACGTGGTTACTTACACGTAGCAATATTTGAGAATACAAACTCTGACAAAAAGATTGCTGACACGGACAGTGACGATGAGAAACAGAAACGGAGATTCATGGGAAGAGACGGTGAGGGATTTTAGGTACGGACGTGTTTGGGAGTTGAATAACAGGAGGAAGAGAGAATGGAACGGGGGAACCAACCGCCTGAGAGAGAGAGAGAAGATCAGAAAATCGCTCCCCTCCCAAGTCCCACCCAAATGGGATGGAATCAAACAGTAAAGATAACAATTAACAAATCCATTAGGATTTAATCAAGTGTCATGAATCAAAGGAGATTAAGACACAATAAGCCAAAGAAGGTGAAGTGTTTAATTTGTTAAACATAGTATTAGCAAAAGGCGTAGGTTGTATAAAGTGTAAACAAGCAGGCGCCAGGAATTACTTTATTTGGTAGGCTTATTCAGCGGCAGCAGAGACAATGATGTGTGTAGTCAGTTAATAACAAAACGGGGAGGGATTAGTAGGAGAAAAGTGGGATACGGATAACGGAAAAATTATAAGTGACAAGTCTGATGAGTGATGAGTGATGTGCAGCTATATGAGCATGCCTTCCGTCCTTCGCGTGGGAGCTTTTAGATTCCTCTTCCCCCGTGTTTATTTGCATTAGTTCGGAGGCTCGAATCAACAAGTACGGAGTATTAATTTGGATTGGTGGGAACAAATCCAGTGAGGATGAAGGCAACACCCATTATCCCTTGGTGGCCCCCTCTCCTCTCTTCTCTCTCTCTCTCTCTACCAAACTACATACATGACCCTATACCGATTTTCGGTCCGAAACCAAGCAAATGGGGCCTACCAAACTACATACATGAGCATGACCCCATGGGAAAGATGGCTCTTGATTATAACATAAAATCTCACTTATTTATTAGTTTTAGTGATCCATTTTCATCCCCCCCTCATGTACGAAACTTAGATTGGGCAAAAGCCCAAGACCCAAGTTCAATGTATTTAACTTTAATATCTCTCTTTCGTAACCTACAATTTGGAAGGATGCTTGGGCTGGAGCCTTGGAGGGAGTAGTTATTTTGGCAACTTGGGTGTGTTTGTTTCCTTCCCGGCCCCCTAATTTTTTTTTTATTTGTTTATTTATTTTTTTATATATAATTCTTGCCAATAGAAAAAAATATTAAAAATTTTTAATGAAAATTTCACTTTTCATGCATAGAAATGGGAATTTAAACAGAATTTTCCTGTTATTTATATTTTGAACATATATTTGTGTTAAGACATAGGATGAAATTAAATAAAAATAAAACAGTATAGATGGGAGAGATGCAAAGGGAAGGCTTGGAGAGAACTCAGAAGTCAGAAGCAACCAAAGAGATGATAGAGGCTGGTTCACACTTCGGTCCCTCTCACTCTCTCAGTCCCACAGCCACACTCCGACTTGCTGTTGGCTCCTAATCAAACAGTGGGCACACACCCTTTTCTCTTGTATTCATTTATTTTATTTGATAATTTTAACATTAATACATGTAACCACTTTGTAAATACGACATGGTTGGAAGGGGCACCCTTTTAGAGGCAAGTTGCAGCCTCCGAATTTGACCCATCAAATTTGATGACCCCACGCTCACCCTCCCTTTCCCTACTTACATTTGTTCTGCCAATCTAATTTACATAAACCCGCTTTCTCTCTCTGTATTAATAGATTTTTTTAAGGCCCGAACTTAAGTCTGGTTCGACCATCGGGCTTACAATTTGGGCCCGAGCCTGTTTCTCATAAAAAGCTTGAAGCTCAGGCCTGGGTCCGAGTCCAAAATTTAGCCCATGTTGTTACTACTGCTGAAGTGGCAAAATAGAGAGAGAGAGAGAGTGAGAGAGAAATTATAAAGAAAAAATAAAAAAATGTATATATTAAATTATAAATATATATTTCAATAAATATTATATTATTTATACATTTTATATAATATATAAAATACATATTATGTATTTTATAAAATATATAATGCTGAGTCAGGCCAAGCTTTTTTAACAAATCCCGAGCCCGACTCGTAACACAGTCGGGCTTATTGTGTTAGGTCCGAGGTCAGGCCCGTGGGCCTAATTATATGACCAAGCCCGACCGGGGTGCAGGCCGGGCCGGGCCATCAGGCTACCCGGCCCATGAACAAGTATAGTGATATGCCAAAACAAGCTTTTCTTTTGGAATTTGTATCAATCCCATCCCCATGCCACTGGCCTCCACACTCATAAAAGAGAGAATTACAAGAAAAAAGGCTAATAATTAATGTATAGTTAATTTTCTTTTATTTAAAATAATTAATATATATATTTTTTTGAAAAATTAACAATTGGGCTTCAGCACTTGGTGTATAACCCAAATTTCTGTAGCTATTTTGGCCCAAACCGCTAAAGCTGTCCTTGCCATAGCTTATCCATAATTTATCTTCATATGAATATGGATATGGATATGGATAAGGAGGTTATGTTTGCACCTTATCAGTAAAGTTGGCTTTTAATATGGGTAATAAATTTTTAGTAAATTCAGTTCCTAAAAGTTGGTAAAAGGATTGTAGTTATGTTAAGGCCATGCTTGGGAGTGTTTATTTGGGTGGGAACCACACTATTAAGCAGTTATTAGTGTTTGAGAAATAAGTGTTTATTTTAAAAATAAAAGTTTAATTTTTAAGCCCAAAGGCTTATTTTTTAACCCAATTTTAAAAATAAAGGCTTAATTTTTAACCCAATTTTTCTCTCATAATTGTGCTCAGTGAAATTTTAGAATATCAATTATTACCCTTTTACAAAAACAATTTTACAAAAGCACTTTTATAAAAGTATTTTACGGAAGTGCTTTTATCAAAGTATTTTTATGAAAGCACTTTTGTAAAAGTATTTTTATAAAAATATTTTTATCAAAGTACTTTCATTCATTTACTTTGGATGGGATGTTTTGAAAATTTGAAAGAAATTGAATGACAAAATAGTCACATTTGATTATTTAAGTGCTTATTGGAGAAAAAGACCACCAAACACCCAATATAAAATAATAAGCACTTAAAAAAATTGATGCCAAATGTAAATAAGTGCTTATTCAATAAGCACTTGTTTTTAACATAAACACTCCCAAACATGGTCTAAATCTATAAAGGGTAGCCCAAATATTTAAAATAGATAATCATAAAAATTATTTTCTATACTGTAAGGAGGTTATTATGGGTATCTTTTAAATTTAAAATTTTGGCACAACCACTTCTGAAACTCCAATCCAGATAATTGACAACTTTTATATAACATAACATTTGTCCAGCTTTTTAGATTAAAACTTTAGCTTTACCGAAGAACCATAAGTGGCGTTTTCTACCTGAAAAGGAAAGGAAAAGCCTTATTTTCTATAGAGACAGGAGCAGAGAAAAGCTACATGTAAATAATTTCTTTTGCTTGTACAAATGAAAAAATTTAGACGGCCTATACAAGTAATAAAATTTTTGAAATTTTCTTAAGAAAAAATTATAAATAAATACCCTGTACTTTGAGGGAATGAAATTTAAGGGCCTCAATTTTGAAGTGCAATAACCAAGTATCCTGAACTTTCAAAAATCAACACTCAAGTCCAGTACCATTAACAGTGTTACAGTCATCCGGTGAATGGTAAAATTATCAAAATTCCCATTTTAAATTCTTTATACGTAGCCTTTGTAGTAAATTATTTGTTGAGCTGGTTTGGGAGGACGGTCAAATTATGGTGAAAGGTCAGTCTAGTAAAACTTGAAAAAGCCTCCCATGAATTTGTTTTATGAAATATGTTAAAAAAGAGGAAAAATCTATGATGCAGAGAATATATGATATGAAAAGAATTTTGACCGATCAAAACCCACTCATGAATTTTGATAGTTTTAAGATTTTGAAACGTTTAAAGGCACACAAACATTGTGTGCTGCAGATAATTGATGGAAATCTAATGGATGGGCTTGAGTGTTGATTATAAAAGTTTAATTGAAAATTGAGGCTCTTCAGTATCACTACCCAAGTATAGGGAAGGTATTTATCTATAACTTTTCCCTTTCTTAAACATAAATCATAAACAGACATTTGTAATACGCTTACAAACTAAATTTTGACCTAATAAATCTACTAGGTAGGAATGGTAGATTAGAATATTATTTTAATGTAAGACATGGCAAATTATAGTCTTAAAATCACATTTCACATAAAGAGAACCATAGCTTGAGCTCATCTATTGATACAAATGTAATATTGCCAAGGAAGAAAATAGATAAAAAGAAAAACAGAAGGAAAAAATGATAAGAAAAAGAACTAAGCCATCTGGAATTCTCAGATGCAGATGGTGTATTATTAAAGCGTGGCTACTTTTGGGACTGGACATTTTCTTTTCTCCTTCTATTTTGTGTTTTCTGCATTGTCTTCATTCCTGTTTTCGAGCCAAATGCTAGCATGTCAATATTATTGGTTTATGGGCAATTTTGTTTAGAGTTAAAAAAACAAAAGAGAATGGATGAACAAAATATCAAAATTTTCTCTCTAATTTTATTTTATAAATAAGAATCTTGAATTCTTGATAAAATCTAATGATGCATCCACTGCACCTATAAAATATGTACATTTCGTTAAACATAAAAGTATATTTTGTAAAACATGAACCAATAAAAAGTAATTAAATTTTAATACAGTTATTTGAAATTTAGATTTAATGTGCATCCAGTAGCAAATGCACCGCAGTTAAAATCAAAAATCTGAAAATCAGCATAATGTTGCTTAACGGGATATTTGATAATTGTTTAAACAGATGAATGGGAACGCTTTATTGCTTTTGTCTTTTAATGAAAAAAACAATTATTTATTCTCTAAAATACAAATTAATAAATAATTTAGCAACTTCGGTCGTTATAACCGGTCCCTAGGTATTCAACCCATAACTAGCCTGAACCTGGTTTTCCATTTCGACACTGTTAGAAAAAATTTGGCTGCTTATGTTTGACAGCTTCTAAAGTTGCTGTTTAGAGGACTCACCTATGGAGTTCACATCGGCACCCCACAGGGCACACCCCATGGCACATTCCAACAATGTATTGGAAACATCTATCCATGACAAGTGCATGACATATTGAGATATTCCCAATGCATGCTGAGATGTGCATGTGGGGCGCTGATGTGATCTCTTTTTTATATGACATCTTAAGAATACATGAATACCATGTAATAGGCATGATTAGGTGTGTCAATGGAATGGATTTGGTCCAATACCATTCAGTTCAATGTGAATCCATTACAATGGACTAGGTCCAATTCAATCCAATAAATATTTTAAACCATTTGGGCTGGTCCAATTCAATATTTGGACCATCCAATCTCTTCAAATTTGTTTTAATTTAGATTAATTCTAACTCAAATCTGTTTCGTTGACAATTTGACACCTATATTTTTATCTTCTATCAGATATTGGCTCTATCCAACTTAATTCAATATAAATTCATTATGGATGGACCAGCCCAGGTACAATCAGATTTTTTTTTGAGGGGGGCAAAAATTAATAAACATGGGTAGATAGGCCAAAATATAAATAAGATGTAAGTAGAAATTTTGAGGGGGGGGGGGGGATGGCCCCTTTACGACCCCCTTGGCTTCGCCCCTGACCAGATTCAATCTAATCCAATAAATACTTTGGAGTTTGGACCATTAAGTCTGGACTGATCCAATCCAATGTCTTTGATACGAAACCAAGATGGACGAATGGAGAAGATAATAATTTCTCTTGATGTTCTATTCAATAGGCTACAACTCTATTTATAATAGAGATACAATAGGGAGACAAGGTTGGCGGCCCAAAGTAGGATACAATAAGGAAAGAAATAAGAGATAAGAAGATAAGATATGTACAACTATATCTCCTAGTTTTGATAGAATACGCTAACATCCCCCCCTCAAACTCAAGATGGTAATGTATCAGTCATCTGGAGTTTGCCAATGAGAGCACGAAAGCGAAGAGGAGAGTGAGCTTTGGTGAATATATCTGCAGACTGATCCTGGGAAGGGACAGGAATAAGGCGAACAGTATCCTCGAGCACATGATGACGAATAAAGTGACAATCAGTCTCAATATGCTCAGTGCGCTCATGAAATACATCATTGTGGGCAATCTGTATGACGCTACGATTGTCATAGTGAAGAGGGGTTGCAGATGAATGAGTGATTCCCATGTCATGGAGTAACCATCGTAACCATAACAGCTCGGAGGTGGTGTCAGCAAGAGCTCGATATTCAGCTTCAGTACTGGAACGAGAGACAACCGTTTGCTTCTTACTATGCCAAGATATAAGAGAATCTCCGAGAAAGAAGAAATAACTAGTAGTGGAGCGTCTATCAGTAGGATCACCAGCCCAATCAGCATCAGAATATGCGATCAAATAAAGAGAGGAAGAACTGGAGTAGTGAAATCCATGAAACAAATTGCCCTTGACATAACGGATGATCCGAAGCACAACAACATAATGAGTAGTGCGAGGGGCATACATGAACTGACTCACAATATGGACAACATACGCAATATCAGGACGAGTAACAATAAGGTATACAAGACTGCCAACTAGTTGCCGATATAAGGTGCAGTCACTAAGAGGAGTACCATCAGTGGTTGAAAAATGGGCATTAGGCTCAATCGGAGTGTTAACAGTCTTAGTACCAGTGAGTCCTGCACGAGAAACAAGATCAGTGGCATACTTGGCCTGAGACAGATAATATCCCGATTGGTTGGAGGAGACCTCAATGCCTAAAAAATAAGTTAGTCGACCAAGATCTTTCATTTCAAACTGTTTGCTAAGAAAGATCTTAAGAGTGGAAATGCCCTGCAAATCATCACCAGTAATGATCATGTCATCCACATAAAGGAAGAGAAGTACACAACCCTGAGTGGTCTTCCGGATGAATAAGGCATGATCATAAGTGCTAGATTGAAAATCAATCTGACAAACAATGGAGCTGAATTTGGAGAACCATGCTCGAGGCGCCTGCTTAAGTCCATATAGAGCCTTACGGAGACGACAAACCTGATTAGGGAGATGATCATAACCAGGAGGGGGCTGCATATAAATTTCTTCAGAAAGATCCCCATTGAGAAAAGCATTCTTAACATCCATCTGAAATAACTACTAGTGCTTAGTTGCAGTAATCGCAATAAGACTATGAACAGAAGTGGGACGGGCCACTGGGGCAAAAGTCTCCTCATAATCAATGCCATACTCCTGTGTGAACCCTTTAGCTACCAATCTATCTTTATACCTTTCAACTAAACCATCTGCCCGAGTTTTGATTTTGTAGACCCATTTGCAACCAATCACGGATTTATCTGGAGGCAGGTCAATTAAATCCCAAGTATGAGTGCTTGTAAGAGTTTAAATTTCTTCTGTCATTGCTTTCTGCCATAGAGGGTTAGTACTAGCCTCACGATAGGTACAAGGCTCATATAAAGATACAATGGTAGAATAACAATGAAAATCACAAAGAAGAATGGAAGGTTTAGTGACCCTACCAGAGTGACAGAGTGAAACATCAGAATGAGCAGGGTCGAATTCATCAGGAGGAATCAAGGGCTCAGAAGAAGGCAGAGATGGAGGATCCATAGCCAAGGTAGATGCATCAGGAGAGGTTGCATGTTGTGCAGTACTGTTAGAGCTATTAGATGAAGAAGTAGTCGGACCTGCAGGTAAATCATCAGGAAAAAGTGAGATAGTAGGATCAGTAAAAAAATGTGAAGAGGTCGTGGTAACTCGAAATGGGGAGAGGCTGGAGAATATTTTGTGTTCCCAAAAGGTAACATGACGAGATATGCGAAGTTGTTGGGAAAGAGGATCCCAACACCGATATCCTTTATGTTCAATACCATACCCGAGAAAACAACATAGACGTGCTTTTGGTTCCGATTTAGTATGTTCATGAGGTTGTAATAGAACAAAACAAGCACAACCAAATACATGAAGAGACTGGTAATCAAGGCAATGGCCATACAATCGTTCATAAGGAGAAATGTTACCAATAACAGGAGAAGGGATGCGATTGATGGTATAAACAGCAATGAGGGCTGTTTCCCCCCAAAAACGTTCAGGACAAGAGGAAGAGATTAAAAGAGCTCGAACAATATCAAGAATATGCTTATGTTTTCGTTCTACACGCCCATTTTGTTGAGAGGTACCGGGACAAGATCTATGAATGATAGTTCCATTTTGTGAAAGAAATTGGATAAGGACAGAATCTTTATATTCCATGGCATTATCAGTGCGAAAAATCTTGATGATAGAGGAAAATTGAGTTTTGATCATGGTGGAAAACTGAATATAAATTGCAGGTAATTCAGATTTATTACGCATGAGATAAATCCATATATATCGAGAGAAATCATCAACAAAGATCACAAAATAACGCGAACCACCCATGGTATTATGAGGCGAAGGGCCTCAAATATCAGAATGAATAAGATCAAAAGGTGCAGAAGAAACAAAATCACTTATATTAAAATGCAAAGCATGATGTTTTGAAAGAAGACATGAAACACAATCAAAGTGTGTTGGTTTAATAGGACCCAAACATCCATTAGAAATTAAAGATCCTAATTTAGAGGTATAAATGTGAACGAGGCAAGAATGCCAGACGCTAGAGGTGACAACAGCAGCAAGAGATGGTAATTGAAGAGATGATAACTCAAACAGTCTCCCAACCTTACGGTTTGTCCCAATGATCTTCCCTGTCTGTGGATCATGCACAGTACAACCACGACTTGAGAAATGTATTTCAAAACCAAGTTCACATAATTGTCCAACAGATATAAGATTTAGAGATAATTGAGGTACCAAAAAGGTGTTAGGAAGTGACAAACAAGATGTTGAAACAGTGCCTACACTTTTGACAGTTAAGGTGGAACTATTGGCAGTATGAACAATTGGTGCAATAGAAGGATGTGACTTGGAAGTGAACAATGATGAATTGGATGTCATATGATTGCAACAGGCAGAACCAAAATACCATTATGAGGTAGTACCTGGAGTGACGAACAAGACTGATTTAGAAGGTATACCAGAATCATGTTGGAGCTGGTAAAGAAGAGCTTGAAGTTCTCTAAGAGAAAATTTTGGAGAGGTGTTATCAGAAGTATTCTCTGTGGCAGCAGCTGCAGTAGAACTCGAAGCCAGAGAACCCATGGATGAGGACTTCTGTCCAGACGTCTTTTTGGCTTGCAAGCGGCGGCACTCAGAAATAGTGTGACCAGTCTTCTTGCAATAATTGTAGAAAGTCCGTTTTGGAGATTTAGTTGAAGAAGTAGCAGACGTACCCGGAGTAGCAAGAACAACATCAGTAGATAATAAGGATCGCTCATCTCGAAGTGTTTTTAAGTGAGTTTCTTCAGAGAGCAAATCGTTGATCACAACATCAAGAGAAGGCAATGGGCTATGATAAAGTAGAGTACTACTAATAGGTTCATACTCATCCCTGAGAGTCATAAGAAGATGCCAAACACGTTGGCGATTGCGGAGCTTGGAATAAGTAGTAGCTACAGAAGTACTATCCCATTCAGGTTCACACTATGCTAATTGATCCCAAAGAACTTGTAATTCAAAGACATAACTGTGAATGGTCTGTCCAGGTTGCTGCTTCATACGACGAAGATGTCTATAGAGCTAAAATTGATGTACATCATCAGAAATAGAATAACGGGCTTGTAAGAAATCCCATACCTCTTTAGAAGAGTCATATCTGCGAAATTCCAACTTGATGCTTGCAATACAAGTATTGTGAAACCTGGTCAATATTTGATGATTTTTCCCGTCCCATTTTTCTATCCGTTCAGCAAATTTATCTTCTGTTTCATCAGAAATTTTAGCAGGTTTGGGAATCTCACCAGTCACATATCGCCATAGAAGGCGTCCCTTGAGAAAACTGCACATCTCTTGGGACCATAAATCATAGTTTGAGCCATCGAAGATAACAGTGATGGGATGAGAGATATGTTGAGCAGTTTCAGATGAATCCATGAGGAGAAACACAAATCTTTGGAGCAACACAAATCACGGGAAAATACTGACCTTAAAAAAAACTTCGCAGAATTCCTAATGTCTTCTTTGTCGGGGCAGCCTCAATTTTGGTACACGCAAACGTTGACGAAGGTTCTGCACCTTTGTAACCTTCCTTTCTAATTCGCAGACCACAAGATGTGAACCGCCGGTTTAAGCAGCGGGTTCGTCTGGCTTAAGTAGAAGAAAGGAACGTAGCACACCTAACGCAACACACCTTCAAGCGCATTGGGAAGCAGGTCTCATGCGCGAATGAGAATGAAGAGAAAATTCGACTGCGTCAACCAACAACATGACCAAATTTCTTCCAAGAGGAAATTCGACGACTATGGTTCTGCTGACAAAGATTTCTGTGACTTAGTCTCCGTAAGAATGAAGAGACTCGATTACCACCTAGCGGCAAAGCCAGTGATGAATGAAAGTCATAAGTCAGTCATTCAACATATGTTAAAGCTATCTCTTAACAGCTTCATCTCCCTCAGCCGAAGATTATTTTCTGTTGCAGCGACCAAAGAGAATTATGGAAAGTCATCACCTTCAGTGGTTTCTGTTGCCAGGAAAATCTCAGATTATGGTGCTTCTAGAACCGGAACTCCTGCACAGTTGTCCAAGGAGGACTTCTGGATGAGAGATAAAAAAAAGGATAACTGGGATTCCGATCATCGAACAGCGTTTGATTTACCGAGGGTTGCAGCTCCAGTGGGAGCAGACACTTGCCGAGTGCTCAATCCAGAACGGCGTGGGGCTCCAGTTGGTTGGGCGATCAAAGGATAAACCTCAGGACTCAACCATCGATTAACAGAGGAAGCCATTGGACGCTGCTGCAGGACGGAAGAAATGAGAGCGGATGGACGACAGTGAAAGTAGCGAACGACTCGCAACCAGGGGCCCTGTTGCGAACAAACTTCCTGAGAGTGTGCTTAGCATATTTCTCTCCTTCTGCAAAGTTCTCCAACACTCCTGCAGTTCTGGTTTCCTTGCTAACCCTGACTTCAGGGTTGATGCAAATATTGCGCACCAACTGAAATCCGCAAATTCCTACAGCAACTCCAACCGCGGCGAACAAAGGAGCAAAGGCTTTGATACCATGATACGAAACCAAGATGGACGAATGGAGAAGATAATAATTTCTCTTGATGTTCTATTCAATAGACTACAGCTCTATTTATAATAGAGATACAATAAGGAGACAAGGTCGGCGACCCAAAGTAGGATACAATAAGGAAAGAAATAAGAGATAAGAAGATAAGATATGTACAACTATATCTCATAGTTTTGATAGAATACGCTAACAGTCTTATTGATCTGTTCAGTCCATCCAAATTGATTTTGGTTTAGACAGATCCAATCCAAAACTGGTCCATTGATAACCTTATGCATGATATATAGATTAGAATCTTGCATCTGCTACTCATAAAGATGCTACTCACATGTAACCATAAGAAACTATAGCGATGCATCGGAAACATCTCCCCACCCCATGAATGGGGAGATTTGGACTCCACAAGACACTCATTTACACATTTGCTGTAATGCCTTACGGGGTAGTGTTGTGGGTAGATGATTTGGGTTCCATGTCTAGCAGGAAGAAGTGACGGGATCTGCTTCTCACAAATGGGTGCTTCACAGGCACATCCACCATGCATTGGGAACATCTCCCATGAATAATAACTAATATATATGGGAGATGTTCCTAATGCATGATAAGGTGTGCGTGTAAAACGCCTGTGAGGCTCCAGGTGTGAGGAGCAGATCCGGTCTCCAGGAAGAGTCCTATAAACGGCACAGATTGCCGAATGTGGATGGTCAAAGTTTTTTGCTGTAGCACCACCCCGACAAAGAACACAGAATGGGACAGGTTACAACTAAATGCATGTACAATGGGTTATGAAATTAATCAAGAGTGAACAACACCTCCATGTCAAGCAGGGCGTCCTATAAACAGCACAAACTGCCCCAATGCAGATGATTTGGACTCCATATCCAGCAAGAAGAGTCCTACAAACAGTTCAGAATGGACAATCCATTTTTTTTTTCCTGTAGCACCATTCCAACAAAGAACAAAGAACAAAGAACGGAACGAGTTATAAATAAAGGCATGTACAATAGATTATGAAACTAAACAAGAGTGAATACATCCCTGTCAAGCAGGGAGAGTCCCATAAACAGCACAGACTGCCGAATGCAGACAATCAAAGTTTTCTCCTTACTACCACTATTTATCTACCGGGATGAGCTACAATACAATGGGCTAGGGGTGAGCATATTTTGGTTAAAATCGAATATTGAACCGAAATTTTGGGTTCCGTGTTTTCAGGGCAGTTAGTTCGGGGATTCGGTTTTAAACATCCATTTATTAGAATTCGGTTTTCGTTTGGTTATGGCATTTAACAGTTCGGTTAACCGAAAAAACTGAAGTTTCAGGGGTAAATAAGTAAAATAACTTCCTTCTTAAGTCTTAACCTTAACTCCAAATTTTCCAAATCTTATTCCCAAGGCTTAGTTTGAAAAGAATACAATACAAATACATACAAAACAATACAAAATATTAGGTTTTGCATTCTACATATATGCCTTTGTACTCCTTTCGATCTGAGCTAATAGCAATAGCAATTTTGGAAAAAACCCAAAACCCCTTTCTGCTTCCCCAGACTTTGTCTTCCCACCCAGGCACCTTTTGGTTGGTCTTCAACTTCTGTGATCTGCGACATCAGTTCATCTCTAGTGAAGACTGAAGAGTAAACTCTGCTGTGAGCATCTGCGACCGTGATCATCTAAGAATCTTTTATTTTATTTTCTTTTTATTTATTTATTTATTTTTTCTGTTATTCTACAATGGTGAGCATCACCGCGAATTTACAAGACTGCAACTGCAACGGTGAGCAAAACAGAACTGTTATTCATTTTTTATCCTGTTATTCTCCGAGACTACAACGTGTGAGCATCTGCAAATCTTCAAGACTGCAATGGTTAATAAGACTGAACTGTTATTTATTTATTTTTTTTCCGCTTCTCAGGAGTTATCAAGTCAAATTTGTTGAAGTTATGATGTTTTGCATTTTGGTAGGACCAATGAATGACCCACCTGTTTGAAGTTCGGTTTAATCGATTTGATTTATTCAGTTTAATCAAACATCAGTTTTGATTCAATTTCCAATTCCACTAATTCGGTTTTAGAAAGTTCAATTTATTCGGTTCGATTTTAAACCGAACAAACCGTTTGCTCGACAATGGACTAATGAAATTAATCAAGAATGAACACCTTAGCATACACAATACACATAGGGACCACACTGTATATATGAAACTGCCGATGTATCGATTCTTGATCGGTTTTGTTTGTACTTTAGCTCATCAGAACTGAACTCAAACTCACCAGTTCACCAACTCTTTCATGACAATGATGTAAGGACGAAACCAGTCTTGCTTAAATTCGGGTTATTCTTGAATTAGACGCGGCTGAACCGTAAAAAATTTACCCGGCTAACAGCACGCTCAATGATGAGGCATGGACGACAAAGGATGAAAACAGAAAAAAGAAACGGAGTATATTTATGAAATCAAATCCACTTAAAAAATGGAAAAGGACTTTTTTTTGTTTTTGTGTTGCGGATGAAATTAAATAGGCAAGGAAATAAATGCAACTTTGGGGATCTACCCGGGGAAGGTTTGTGTTTGTTTTGTCATAAATCCCCTGAAGAAAAAGAGAGAGAGAGAGAGGGGGGAAAACCCTAATGATTTAATCCTCATCAAATTTCACTTTGTTGGGATCCGCAATCTTATGATGGGGTGGGTTTATGTGGACCCCACCCATTCTGTTGGAAAGCAGAACCCCTGAGAGGGCGGTGTAAGATTATCAATATTCAATGTACTTACTTGATCTATTGAAAAGAAAGAAAGAAAGAAATAAAATAATGTTTAAGAAAAGATTTGAACTTTTGAGCTTCTGGTTAACAACCACACACTCTAACCAATTGAGATACTTCACGAAACATTATATTTAATTAACTAACCATACTTTTCCCATGAGAGAGAACAGTAAGTACAAGTAAGGCAGGAAGAACATCTTGGATTACGGTTGAAGAGTAGAATCATAGTCAAAGAAAAGAATTAAATAATGAATACAGAAAAAGAAAGAGGATTGGGGGTTCCTCTTTCAACGCATTATGCACGTCTCTTTCTCCACCAACAAATGCGATTGCTAGTTACTCTACACGTCCAAGAAAGAGATGTGTAGGCAGTTCACAATTCACATTAAAATTGGGAATGAAGACATCAGTTTTGGGCATTGAGATAGACACTACGTACTTTCAGCTTAATTGAATTAGAATGTATGTAATTACTTTGAAATGAAAATGCGTGCAACCATGTGGTTTTGCTATTCCATCATGTTGACTTGACTTTTAAACAGTTTACAAGCATGCCTGGCTGCCTGCCGCCCCATATCTTAAATCTTATCCTTTGTTTATGAATATTACATATCTGACTTGTGAGGCAGCTGCCATTATTCATTCATGAGACTTTATGGGAAAGGATAAATTGCAAATATAAGGGCACATTTGGCTTGCGGTCAAAATTTGAATTGAAATCTCCTCACCTTGGAATTAGAATTGATTATATCTCTTGACTTTCTTTAATTTACATGGGAATTGAAATTAGATTCCATAAGATATACACATGATTCTTAAGAAAGATTGACATTAGCTAAGGAGAAATAGAGTTTAGGAGGGTTTTGGGGTTTATCATTCTATCAACAATGAGAATTGGAATCCTATTCTATCCAATTCCTATTCCCACGAAAGATTATTTATGTGTGATTTACGTATCAAAAGAAAAGTTTACAATATATTTGAAAAAGAAAGGACAAGGTGTAAACGATAATGTGCATGGCGCATGCACGTATGGCATCTGCGAGTGGAACTCCTTCTTCTCCTCTATCATGTTGTAGACTCCCTCTTCAA